ACGACTCTCTCTCTCTCTCTCTCTCTCTCTCTCTCTCTCTCTCTCTCTCTCTTTCTCTCTCTTTCTCTCTATTATAACTCTTGCCTTTAGTAAGTAACTCCGTTTATTATAGTTCCCATTACACCGTTTCCGTATGTGTTAACGCGAGGTGCTGCACAATGGATGCTCTTCTTAAGCGCCGCTATGGCGCTCCGCGCACAAAGGATCCTTCAACTCTTTCCTCCAGTGAGTGGTAGCTCACTGTGTTCTTACGCAGCACCAGAAATTACAAAGGATAGCTGATGAACTTGGATACAGTCTGTTCTCAGAGACAGAGACGCTTCCTCCCTGGGTAGCAGAAGTGGTAACGCACAGGCGTGTGCGTCATTCCTTATCTCCTCTTAATGACATAGAACTTAATTGGTGCAGCACTCAACACTCTCGAATTTATAGAGATCCCCATTGGTGTCGTCATTAATATGATGCATTACTCGCTCCGTCCTCAGATTTCTCTACTTTAACTCGGCGCAACTCCACTTCATTTTACTCCATGTCGCATGTATATATGTATATATATATATATATATATATATATATATATATATATATATATATATATAATATACAGAGGAATGCGGGAAGACTGTCTCTTCTATTTTTTACATTTTTCTCGTCCGAGTCTCTTCCTTATGTAATAAAACTTTGCGCGTCTTGCGGAATAATTCGATCCGACAATGAGTTCGACGATCTGCGCAAAGACTCTTACGGGAGTTGTAACGGGGACATTGGAAATAATTAAGCAATTATCGGAAATTAGGCCGCTTTATTTTAATCAGCATTATGAATCGGACTGAGAGAGAGACTTTTTCTGACTTAAATCATCAGACAAATGTATCTACAATTATATCGACAATCGTATATGTCTATTTCTTTCGCTCCGTGTTTGATAATAAAATATTAAATTAAATTCGAAAATTTATAACCGATCGATCGTTTAATACGACTTTTATATCTACAATATACGCAATACACTATTTTGTCTTTTTACGTGAACGAGATATTCATCTCTTTTTTTTTCTTCACGTTACGCTACGATATGTTTATGTCTACGGTATGTTTTTTTGGAATTGAGAATTGAATTGAATTGAAATGCCGCATGTAACTACGCAAGTACTTTTCGGGAGTGATCTTATCTTAATGTACATATCCTACAATAAATATATGTATATGTATAACAATAATAAAAGTAGTTTTGATACTTTGGTGGATGTAAGCTGCATTCGTTAATCAGGCCACATTTTATCTACCAGGATAAATGTGACCCTGCCGCACGGATAATATTGTGCGTGTTAAATGCTTCGTTAATCGAAGTAAACGAGCTTCTAATTGCCAGATTAGAAGTAAAACGAGTCAAACGCGTTAAATACGACACGTTAAAAAACTAGCATTCGCAAATCGAGATTGTTGTTGCAGCGCGTGGGAATTCTTTTTCTTTAATAAATATTTTTAAAATAAAATCGTCTGCGTTTGCCATTGATTGAAATGTACGATATAACTGACCTCGTTCGCAATTGTTTATCGCCTTAGTTAACAATAATCATACAAATAACATATTATGTTTAGGCACTTTAAGCACTTGTATAAGAAGTTAGGACACTATTTTTTGGTTAGCATTGCCTGTAAGTTGTACAATCCTGTCATGGTAACGTGTTGCTTATGTAAACTAGCTACATGATATGTTCTTAATTAATGTAACACTTAAATTGTGGAGTAATATGACTATTTAAACGCTATTCGTTCGCAATTAATAAATTAAATAAATAATTTAAAGCTTAAATAAATTAAAGCAATTAATATTAATAACAAAATTTTCAATGTGACTGCGCCCTCTTCCGCTTGTCTAAAGACGCCCGTCCAAAATTTATACGTTTCACCATTACATAAATACTATAGGTCTTTCATAAATAACAAAGTTTAGTTAGACACGCACACAATAAGGTACTGAATAAAGGTACACACACCGGTAACTTAAAAACGCATGAGGCGAACGCAATTCAAGCTCAGTCAAATACTTGCGGAAAGTGGAGACACGGTGGTAACTTAAAACGCAAGAGGCACGCAACTCAAGTTCAGTCGGATTACTTTCAGAACACATTCGTTAATTATACGATAATACTATCACGGAACACGCCCCGCGAGACATCTCAGCGGCATTAATAAAATTCCTGCTGTGTGTCCCCCCCCCCGCGGTAGCGATCGATCCGCCGATACGGAGACGGAAAGACTTTGGCGTTTGCGTTAGACCGAGTCTGTCGCATCGCGGAATTTTCCGCGGTTCGGGAAGAACGTAGTAGATTAAAGAAGGCCATTCTTCTCGCAGAGAAGAATGGAATCGAATCGCCGGCCGGCGGAATTTCGCACGTTCATTTTCGCCGTCCCCGACGATCTCGCATTATAATAAAAACGACCAAATGCACAGTCCGATCATCACTATGCTCGACATGTACGCTAACGAGTTAGGAAGATGGATACTGTAAATACTCTCTCGTTTGATTAACCACAGCGGGACGGCGAGGTGGAGGATGTCCGGTATCATGAAGCCCAGATCACGTATGACCTTCAAGTTAAAGACACAAAATTACAAAAATGTTCCTTTTTTCGTTATTATCTATATATTATTATCATTATTTTATATTGTTACCTGGTGCGCGTGGCCCTCTCCTCTAACGACGTTCTCGAAGAACTGATCCCACCCCCCGGCCATGATATGCAAAAGGGCTATCGCGGCAATGCCGAACGCCTTTCTGTGGGTTATGGGATTTTTCTTATCCGCGAGATTAACGACCCAGGCGGTGGATATCAGCTCGGTGATGGAAAAGAACAGCTGGTGATACCATTGCGAATAGAAGTCGTCGTTCCAGTAGTTAATATAGACCCACCACGTGTAATAATTGGAGAACAGGGCAGTCGAGAAGAGGAGCATCATGGAATGCCTGAGTCTCTGTTTGATCGCCAATCTCGCTAGGTGTTTCATCGTTTCGTAAAACGCGATCACTCCGACAACGATGAGTATCCATATTTTCAACATGTTCGAGGTGGCATTGAAATACATGTGCTTGTAGGGTGCGATTCCGGATTCGTATGAGCCTGCAATAGAAATTACACAATGACAACGTGTAAGAATTAAAAGTAAAAGGAACAAGGCAAAGAGGACATTAGAATTCTAATAATTTTTTCTTATTATTGAATTTTTATCTATAAATTCGAATTTATAGATTTTCGAATTTATGGGTATAAATTCAATAATATAAAAAAAATTAGACTTTTAAGATCTGATCTACCAAGTAATGTCCTCTCTGATTTGTTCTTTAAAACTTGGCTTGCTACACTGATTATTTATGAATTTTCAAAACAAATTTCATTACCTTTGAAGACAGTGTCCCAGCACGAGCAGGAGCAGTATCGTTTATCAACGACCCTTGAATAATCCTGCCAGAAGTAATACAAGGTTGCAATCTGCAGCGGTGGAATTGTTAGGGGTCCCATAATACCCACAAATCTTGATCCACTTGTCGCGATATTTTTGCACAGAGCACGCTTCAACATCTTCAATATAGCCATTTGTCCTGATTGTATTATGAATGAATAAAAGATTTGGTGTTTTACTGGTCTACTTCATCAATTAGGACGATCTTTCGATTTATCGATATCATATCACAGATAAAATCATATTATAGATAAAGATGCTACATCACGCTGAGCATTGGCACTTATGGTTATTAAATAATCAGAGAACACACTTTAAACTAAAATATCTGACTATATTTTACATAATTTTGTAAATAATCCCTGACTTTAACTTAATAAATTCTATCATCACCTGTACTTAACGAAAACCTCTTGCAAATCATCTCGTGCATCTCTCATACAAATTAGCCTCCGATTTTTTTTTTTTAGAATTAACGTACAATGAAATAAATAAATGAATTCTGAAACATTAATGGATATGTCTTGATTCTTCTGATGTGTAATGATGTCCCTGGGTGTGAAACGGCGGGTAATAAACAACAAAAATGCAATCGGAAAACTGCTCAACACATGTTTATTTTAACAACACATGTTTATTTCACACTACGCGCATTGTTGTTCGTGCGCGACACGATGGAAATCGAGTATGAGTATGTTTCTCGGCTGGTCTGGATTCATCGGCTATTACGTCATGGTGATAAATGTGTTCATTTGGATGGCAACGAGCTGCACATGAGCGACCATCGTCGGTGCTCTCCGAGGGAACACCTTGACTTTACATATCAACGAAGTGGACGGCTTCGCGTGCAAGGCCGTTTAAGTTTAGAAATGAACGGCCAGGAATGGAGTAAACGGAATAAACAGCTGTAATGTTGTGTAAGAAAACGCCATCTTCGTGCCTCAAGTTGCTCGGAGGAAACTTTGCTCTGAATGAACAGAAAGGAGGTAACAGGTGGAGGCCGACTGCAGATACGAATTAGCTCCAGATTAGTCATCGTGTAGAAAAAAATAAAAATTGAAAAATTAAAGACGAGATATTCCTCTTCAAATCAAGTTTATAATCGCAAATATTATTTTTAATTAAAATCAAATCCTTATTAATTGAAATATCGACAATCGTTAATTCAGTGTTCTATATCTCGTTGCCACACTATTGATGATTTTCTTTTCTTTTTTTTTTTTTTTTTTATGTATTTGCCTTTATAGATCTAAAAGCTCTTTTTTTGTAATTAAAATATATTGTTAATAATATGTTTAAAGCATGGATTTTATATTTTATAAGGAAAAAAAATTCTTTTATCATTTGCTATTTTAATATGGCGTCCGGAGCTGTCAACTCGCGTCAATATGTGCGAACTTGTTACGATTCACTGCACAGCATGCTTTCACCTTTTTTAACCTAAACTTCAGTAAAAATATTTTTCTCCTAAAAACCTGTTCGCAATAACATAATCTATCGGAAAATTTATATGAATAGGGGTGATAAGATATTTACCATTTTACATTTATAAGTTTAGCGAGGGCAGTATTTTTCTAGATTGTTTCTGAGAATAATTCCACTTTTAAACATTTAGAGATAAATGTAAGAAAATGTCACGAAAATATGGGACTACGAGCTTCCGTTTGTGTCGTTGTTGTTACAAATGGCGTTGTCAATGTCTTGTACCACGGAAAAAGAAGTCACACCCACCTTTCAACAGCGGAACGAAGCAAAGTAATAAGCTAGGGCTGCATCCGAAATTAAACGCACCAATATCACCGCCTGTCGGTTCCTACGATCCTCGACCGATTGATTGTAAATCTGTAATTATTAGGTAAATTGTCACCTCGATCCGTTTCCGAAATAGCGTAAGAATTTCCATATAAATAGTACAAATTACGGCGCAGTTGGAAAAAGCAACAAGAAACGGAAGAATTCTCCGCCGCGATGGGTGGCAGATTAACAAGAAAAATTGTCGATCGGAAGAGTTTAATGAAAGTCGGATGTGGACCAGGAAGTCACGAGATACTTCGCTGGCCGGAGAGTACCATGATGCTCTGTAAAAATTTACAAACAAACGTTTTCTTTGGGACCGTTCCACGATTTGAACCGAGTTACAAGTCCACCACGCCTGGTCCAGGTTGATAAAATCCTATTTCGAAAGAATGAGTTAAATTATCTCAAAGCAGAAAATTTTTCTCGAAATGCAATATTTTATATTTGTATATTATATTTGTATATTTATTATATTTATATTATACATTTATCATTTTAAAAGAAAATTCTTTGAATTTTAATTAATAGTCTTTGAATAGTCTTATTGTTAAGAGAACTTGAATGTTTAGTTTATTCGTTCTTTCTCTTAAGTTTATTTATTTACCTGAGCAATGGTCTTCTATCTTTTTTAAGGCTACACGCTGAGAACGCACAATCCCTTTTTCTATTTGGATCAGAAAAGGTTGAAAGGTTTCTCTCCCATACCTTCATTCGAGTTTGATAATTTAGTACCTAGATTTCGAGAAACTATAAAATGTTGGTCTCTACCATGCACTAGGTAAAGAGAAAGTCATTAAAATGTCATTCCACTGAATTTTTTACAATTTATAAAATTGTACAAGAATTTATATTTACAATAGGTACAGCGTAAAACACCCAAATTCTCTGCAAGCCTTTCTCGAAAAAATTACGGGCAAGCGAGGACCTTACGATCTTTTCACAGGTACATCAAGAAATAATATTTTAAAAAATACTTAAATTATTTTATAATAAAGGAGATATTTTTAATCAATATTAAAAATATTTAATTAACTAAATTGTTGTAAAATCGCCACGTTGTAAATCTGTTAAAAATAATGCCACATGGCTGGTGATATAATTATTTGAATTTATTTTATATAGATATTTAGCACCTAAAATCCTACTTTCAAGAAATTGGCCATGTTTTCTCTCAGTTGATTATACTTATATTATTTTATATTTATTTATTCTGCAAGCATAGTAAATACAATTAAAAAAATTTTATTTGATATGATGTGACATCTTATATTAGTATAGCATAAAGTTCAAAATAATATTTCGAAATTAAATTTACAAAATAAAAATATAAAGATTTAATTATAATAATGCATAAATATTTATTTGTAATTTAAGGACCGAGGGATGAGACTACTATTAGACATTTGATACGTGCAAAATTAGAAGATCATGGGGATTGGCCACGAAAATTACCAGATGAAATAGAAAAACTTTCGAACAAATGTAACTATTTTAAGGGAAAATGGTCCGTCAACCCTAGGTATTAAAATAAATTTAAATTAAAATTACAATAAAAAAATAAATAAATAATAATAGACATAAATTCTGAATATAATTTACATGTAACATGGAAAATACATAAATTATTTTAAACGATAAAATGTCGTCTTAAAGATTCACGAAGAAACCGACTACGAGGATGATGTTACAAAATATCAGTACATGTTACAAGGATCCTGATGAGCCGGGGCCTGCTCATTATAATCCTCGAATGCTACAAAGACCAAGTTCAACTAAAAGATATCCTTTCGATAGCAATATACAGTATATACGACCGCTTCCACCAAGGGGCATTCCTGGCCCAGGAAGATATAAGATTAAACAAAGGTATCGTGTAAAAGGACATGGATGGAAAAGTGTTTTCAAGAGCAAAGTTCCTAGAATAATCAATGTCGCTGCTCCATCATATAACTATTAATTTCTATGAACGTTGTAATATAAAAAAACAATAATAGTTATTAACGAATTCTTAATAAAATTATTAATAACTAGAGTTGAACTGTGCAGTCGTATTAAAAATAAAATTTATTATATGATAATTATAACATTAATGACTTTATTGATGCAATAAAAGAAAAACAGTGGTATACGCTAGGTAGGAATAACAAAATCAAAAGGCGAAAACTTAAAGCTGACTTAACGAAAAGTTGACACTGTAAATGTGGAATAGCCAAAACGTGCATAAAAACTATAGTAAAAATAATATAATATTAATAATAAAAATAGTAAAAATAATATAATATTAATAATAAAAGACATTGAAACTACAAAACTTACAATTATATGGTAAATAAAAAGATGAAACTAGATACAAATAGAATAAATAATTATAAAGCGTAAATAAAAATGAAATAGAAAATAACGCGCAGACTAAGTAAAACTTAAGAAAATAATCAGTATGAAGAAACGGCAGACATATAAAAACGCATAATATAAAAATTTGGTGTATATATATATATATAGGATTAATTTGGTAATAAGTAGAATTAATTTCACTAAGAACCATCGATTAATCGCGCATTGGCTCGGCGTGCCTCGACTTCCTTCGTTTTTCGACGACGATCCTCGATGCGGGATTTCGTGCCAGGTGGGAAATGGTGAAACGGAAGCCTCGCGGGATAAACGACGCACGCGCTCAGCGATTATCCCGGCTGCATCCCGAATGCATAATTCGTACGTACACCGTGAACTTTGAACCGCGAGAGCCCATCCCATGCCGACCGCCCTGAATACGTGCGACCGCAATTAACCATCTTCGAACCACCATCCCTCTCATTTAGGGGCCCTTACCACACGCATCATACATTTGTTGCGAAACGCCCGGGATCTGCCGACCGCGCGATAATCGCCGCAATAAAACGACATGAAAAATTTCATTTGGATCGTACGTACGCGCGACGAGCCCGCGACGGCGAGAAATCGCCACCGCGATCGCTTATGCAATCCGAATCGTTAGAGAACGCGAGGATCAATGAAGCACGAAGGGGAGAAAAAAAAGCGCCGCGAGGAAAAATACGGCGCTAGTTGGGAAACCTGCGAGCGCGCCGAAGAGGGATTTTCGTTCGTTCTTTGTAAATTACAACCGCATCGAGATATGCAAGAGATATACTCGCCTAAATAAAACCGGAAGCACTGGGCGCGCGCGCGCGCGCGCGCAAACGCGAGGAAAAAAATGAGAAAAATTTCTCGCGGCGTGCCATATGGCGGATAATTTCGTAGATTGATGGAGGATTTCACGGAGCAACTGACACCCGATATACGGGTTCCCATAGGCGCGCACCGCTACGCGTGGTAACGCGGCTGTCGTGTAGGATGCTCGCATTAGCCACAAGGGCGAATTAATCGGGACGCAATTGGGCGTTAATAACTTTCTAATTTACAGCCGACGCCGACGCCGACGCGTCTCTCGCAAGATCGATCTGTGCCGTTGAGTTCGTTCACCCGCGGGATTGCGAGTGACAGACCGCGTTAAAAGACGCGAACGTGACGTTGAAAAATCATTGGAAGATCGGAGATAATATTTTCCGTTTCTCCCCCCCCCCCTCCCTCCGTTTCATTGGCATTTTTTTATTCATTTTCTTACTTTCCCTATTGCTCGAAATCCATCGACAGCTTCAACAAATCAAAATTTGTATGTTTGGAAAAGTAGGTAAAAATAGGTACGTTGAATGTTCAAATGTCACGCTTTTATTCTTCGATGCCCAACGACGGTCTCAACATTTTGGAATATCTCAATTCCGATACGTGAATGGCCTCTAAGTAAGGTCCTTTGTCTGGAGATGTTTCGAGGAATTATGTATTATTTTGCTTGATACCAAAGAGTATCGAACGATCTCTCCTCTCTCTTTCTCTTGGCTTTCGCGGGTCGCGTGGCAGGAGCTTGACCTATTTTTTTTCATCGTTTTCATTCGACTGGCCGAATAATCTCGTAAATCAGCGGAACAAAGGATAAAAACCTTCAAATAGACACTCCACTTTCTCTCCATCACTGTTTAGCTACCATTCGTCCTGGGAAAAACGTAAATCTCGGTCCGATTCTATACCTAGATCCCTCGTCTTCATTCCTCTTCCTCCCTCTGTGTCTTTTCTCCAATTCTTTGAGAGTTTATTCCCCTACGAGGCACGTGCCTTTTAATATTTATACGTTCCATTTACAATAGAGCATAAAATAGAGATTTACTGGCATAAAATTTCTGAAAAATACCTCGACCACGAAAATACATTTTTTTCGACATTCGTCGCTGTCCCAACAATGTCCCGTTAAGAGTCAAGACCGGAATAATGTTATCGTCGTATTATAATGCCTTGTTATAAAAGCACGATACTACTGGTGTTCGTAGGGGGTTACAAACGCATAATTTTCTCGGCTCAGACTCGTTTAAGAGCCCCAAAATGCTATACTAGCGAAATTGCATTTCTGCGAAAACCGCCTATAATTTTCATCAAGCAAGTAAAAAAAAAAAAAAAATGAAAAATAGAATTATCATCCAAACTAAAATGGAAGATGTCCTTCGAGATTCAATGAAACTTAAATAAAAAACGGAAATGATTATTAAAAAAAAAAGAAAGAAACGAATGAAATTATCGTCGTAACATAGGTGAGGGCGAAGCGAAAGATGATGCGGGAAGATGCGCGACGCGAGGAGATACCGGATCTACTTGAAAAAAAAAAAGGAAAAAAATAAGTTGACAGAAGAGAACGCAAATTCGATCGGACGGAAGCGGCAGTCACGCATCACGTACAGTAGATTATCGATGCACACGTGCCTTTTGTGAAAAAATTCCGGCCCGCCGGGTCCTCCCCCCTCCCCACCCGCGCTCAGGAAGGCGGCCATCGAGGGAGAAGGTGTGATACGTTACAGCTGGTTAAACAGCTGTGGGGTGGAAGGATAACCGTGAACGTGCCGCGACAAATTTCTGGCAGCAGCCACCAGAAGGCTACGTATGAAATCGGAGGAGGCCGCCCTTTTTCTTCCTTTCACTCTCAGACATAGTATTTTGGATTTATTTCTGGATCTTTATCGCGTATGTTTCGATAAGATCAACGACGCTTAGAAGTGACATCTTATCAATGATCAATCTTAGCTCTAAGATAAGTAAAAGAAAAACCATTAACTTTTTATAATAACAATAATATGATTATGATTGTATTATTCAAGTTGAAGCAAAGAGATGTGGGCAGTCTTAAATAAGCAGAAAATTCGCGTTAAATTCAGAAACTGAGAGTCAATTGTATACTTTGACACAAGGTGTAAATTACAAAAATTCACTAGAGTGTCTGTGTCAATTTTATGTATCGAAGCTAGTAAATTTCCTTAATTTTGTAAAATTTCATCTCGTTCCAAGATACACAATCATCTGATCACCTGCTAATTCGAGTAACATGTAATTAACATGTAATAATAAAAATAATGAAAAGCTGTAATGGAAATAAGTCATCAAAGATTCTCTTCATTTATACGCTTTAACGCGTCTCAATGATCCTCCACGCGAGTAAAATATTAATATTAAATTAAACTCGTGGACGGTATATGTACGATGGGCCGACACGTACGACAGTTTATTGAGCAATCTTACATTGACAATTTTTATTATTATTACGATATCGTTTGTTTGACTTTCGGACTAATGACAATTTGACGGCCGCTGTGTATTTAACACTTCTATTCTGACGATCACGATAACGTCGTTAAGTGCCATATCTCGAAACGAGCGCTTTGTTTTAACGCAAATGATTTCCGTTCGATATGTAATGTGTAACACCTATAGACGATATATATATATATATATATATATATATATATATATATATAGTACGACGA